TACCCTATGTTCCACAGGAGGGGTCCAAGAACAGACCCCTGTGGAACACCGCACGACATGGGCCGACACCTCAGATTACCAGCTCGGTCCTCCTACTCGACGGTACGCTCCTCTAAATAGTCTACCACTAGCCGCCTCAGGTACTTGGGCACCCCATGAAAGTGTAGTGCTTCCCTGATGCAGCTGAATGGCAGACTATTGAATGCGTTGGCGATGTCCGATGACACCGCCAACAGCACGGCGCCTCAGGCGTAGCACAGCGCCCACCGTCGAACGCCCCACTCGAAAACCGAATTGGACGTCCGACAGGTCCGGGCCCACCTCGTAGAGGTGGCGGACGATGCAGGCAGAGAGCATCCTCTCAAACAATTTACCCGCCTCGTCCAGCAACACAATGGGCCTGTAGGCCGTGACAGAATCGGCAGGCCGTCCCGGCTTCCTCAATAGGATCAGCTTCCAGCTCTTCCAGCACTCAGGAAAACGTCCGGACAGCAAGCTAGCGTCGAACACCTCCCTGAGGCATGTACTCGGGCCGGTATCCCGTCTGGCCCAGGGGCGGTGTTCATGGAACGGATCCGTAGAACAGCCGCCCCTACCTCCGAATCCCGGACGGGCGGAACATCATCCACGTTCTCTCTGTCGTCGACGGCCAAGGTAACCATCGACGGGGGTGTGTGTTCCACCCGTTGCGGGAATCCTTCATACAGTCCTGACCTAAGCCCTAACGATTTCTTTACATTTTTTTTTTAAATTAAGAAAAGCCTTCGTTCTCAAAGGTTCGAGTCCGGTGAAGAAGTAGTCGACGCTTTCAAGTCAGCCATTTTGAACACCCCCACTTTAGAGTGGAATAAATGTTATAATGACTGGTTTGAGCGAATGGAAAAGTGTATTAAGCTACGTGGTGAATACTTTGAAAAACAATTAAAAGTACTATAAAGTTCTAGTTGTGTTTTTTTTCTTCAAACGACAAAACTTAAAACCCATGCCTCGTATTGGTACTGCAATGTCCTATTTCTTCTAACGTTGCTTTGATTTCCTCAAGTTCGGTTTAGGGGTGCATGTTTTTAAGGACCACTTTAAGACTTTTTTCATACTTGGGTTTGTACGTGTAGAACTCTGGTATATTTTTTTGACATAAATAATTCAGTGGTAAACCAATTTCATACAGTATATGCAGTGGTTAATTTGCGGTATTAATTAGAAAAAAAACCGATCAGGAACGAGTCGAATTCATGCGCCGAGGGTTCCGTACCTACCCAGATTTTACGTAGATTTTCGCGAAATTTTGTAAGTACCAAAATTTATCTTAATTTTTAAATTTTTTGTATTTTTTATAAATTTTCTTTTATTTTGTAACAGTAATTGATCCATTATATTTGTATTGCGTACGGAGTTGTAAACAGTGACACCTGTCGCCCCGCGTCGCATTTATTGATTTATCCGAAGTAGATTGTAACTATACTATTGATGTCTCTTCGTCCGCCATCGGACCACTAGATGGCGTGGTTTTTTTGGTAAGTCGGAGTAATAATTTATCCTGTCAAATTGCATTGGTGTTAAAAGTGTCCTGTTATGGTAGGAAGCGGGTTATTGTTGAATTGAGTCGTGTTAACCTCAATGATAATTTGAATTCGATTGGGCTCCCATTCATGTTTAAATAAAGAAGGGATTCTTCCTAGAAATTTTACAAACCGAGCATATATTATATAAGTCCGGCTTCCAGCCGCAAGGGGCACTCTGGTGATTCTAGTCTTCCAATCTGAAGTAGCATTTTGATTGTCTGTTTATTCATTTTTAGTAAATTCTGTGTCCTAAGTTTAATTCCACTACAGTGGGCTCCAGATTTCAGATCAAGAGATACTTCTCAGACGGCGTGCTCTTTTGTTTGTGGCCTTCTTGTGCGTAAATGAGCTCCTGAGTTTCATCTGATTACTGGCAGTCACGCGGCTCACAAGCAAGCTTTCAGTCTCATTCAAGGGTTACGTAATTTTTGTTAATGTAACTAATATAAATACCTAACCTACCTATATACCTAATATAAATAGCCGACTCGGGCTGGTGTGGAAATAACCTGCAGGATTGTAGACGAAGAGGCTCCTAGCAACATCAGCTCGGCCTTGACGCGCACCGCTGCGGGATCTTTTTTATAAACCCACTATTTATATTTATTCAATTTTAATTCTGTATTTGGAATGAAATATACATGTATGTACGACTGAGGTGTAAGTTGTGTTTCTCTGAAGAGTCCCTTAGGTTGCCCACACGCACACATATCCATACCCTTCTGTTGTCGACAAGGCGCCCTGAGGTAATCTCGTGTATATCTTCGCTGGGTAAGCCGGTGAGTAGACCGCCTGACACGTTCAGCGGTTACAATTTGTGCTGTAAAACGTTTGTTTTTGCCAAATTTCGTGATTCTAGGTCAACGGGAACTACCATATAGGTTTTCGACCCAAAACCTCTAGGGTACTTCCGGTTGACCTAGAATTATCAATTTTGGTAAAAAGTAAGGTCTTACATTACAAGTGAAGAGAAAAATCTGAAAAATAAAAAAAGTTGAAAAATAAGGTAAATTTTGGTACTTACAAGTTTTCTCAAAAAGCGAAATTTGCCCATATCTTTTTATCGTGTTGACTCAGGACCTTGATTTTTATACACCTAATAGGGACCATAGACCTCAGCATCTGGTATAAATTTCAACTTGATAGGTGTACCCGTTCCTGAGAAAATCGGCGGTGACTTTTAACTTTTTAGGTACGGAACCCTAAAAAGCAACAAATCTTTTTAAGTCATTAGAGTTTTGTGGCACTGGAAAATTCTGTAAAATTCTATTTTTTTCTGGACCGGGTTTGATACCGTCCCCAGACACACATCATCATCACATCAACAGCCTGTAATAGTCCACTGCTGGAGCTGCTGCTGCATCCCAGGAGCTGGCGCCCAGGAGCTGGCGGACCTCCGTGCGGCCTGTACACGTGCCCGGAGGTCCTACACGCGCAGTCGGCGGCGTCACCGTGGAGACGGTGAGGAGGACCGGCTTCATGAGGAGTACCGACAGGCGCGGAAAACTCTGAAGCTGGCCATTAGCCGCGCCAAAGAAGAAAAGAGAGAGGAGATGCTGGAGGGTCTTAATCGTGACCCCTGGGGTCGCCCTTACCGCGCGGCGCGACAAAAGCTCCGCGCGTCGGGCCCCCCCCTTACGGACTCTCCAGCCCAGCTTCCTGCGAGAAGTGGTTGAGGGCCTTTTCCCGCAACGGGCGGAACACACTCCCCCGGTGATGGCCTCCTTGGCCGGAGACGACGGGGAGCACGGGGAGGATAATGTTCCGCCCGTCCGGGATTCGGAGGTAGGGTCGGCTGTTCTACGGATCCGTTCCAAGAACACCGCCCCTGGGCCAGACGGGGTACCGGCCCGAGTGCTGGCCCTAGCCCTCAACCACATGGCAGACCGCCTCGGGGAGGTGTTCGACGCTAGCTTGGCGTCGGGACGCTTCCCTGAGTGCTGGAAGAGCGGGAAGCTGGTCCTACTAAGGAAGTCGGGACGGCGTGCTGATTCGGTCGCGGCCTACAGGCCCATCGTGCTGCTGGACGAGGCGGGTAAATTGTTTGAGAGGGTTCTCTCTGCCCGCATCGTCCGGAACCTCTACGAGGTGGCCCCGATCTGTCGGACGCCCAATTTGGTTTTCGGGTGGGGCGTTCCACAGTCGACGCTGTGTTGCGCCTGAGGGCCGTGACCGAAGAGGACGTGCTGTTGGCGGTGTCACTGGACATCGCCAACGCATTCAATAGTCTGCCATTCAGCTGCATCAGGGAAGCACTCCACTATCATGGGGTGCCAAAGTACCTGAGGCGGCTGGTGGCAGACTATTTAGAGGAGCATACCGTCGTGTACGAGGACCGAGAGGGTAATTTGAGGTGTCGGCCCATGTCGTGCGGTGTTCCACAGGGGTCTGTTCTTGGACCCCTCTTGTAGAACATAGGGTACGACTGGGCCCCTTCGAGCCGATTTCCCCCCCGGGCTGGGTGTAATTTGTTACGCAGATGACACTCTGGTGACAGCCCGGGGGGCGAACTTCCAAGAGGCGGCGCGCCTGGCCACAAGGGGAGTCTCCCTGGTGGTCGGGCGCATTGAGGCGCTGGGCTTACGGGTGGCCCTAGATAAGACGGAGGCCCTGTTATTTGATGGGCCCCGTCGTGGTCCACCCCCTGGCGCCTCAATCGTGGTCAACTCGGTCCTCGTACCGGTTCGGGCCCAGATGAAATATCTGGGCCTGATCCTCGACGGGAGGTGGCTCTTCGACGAGCACTTCCGACAGCTTGCTCCAAAGCTGGTCGGCGCTGCGTCTGCCCTAGGGTGACTTTTGCCCAATTTGGGTGGACCCAGCGTCGCGACAAGACGGCTGTACATGGGGGTTGTCCGGTCAATGGCACTATACGGTGCACCGGTATGGGCGGCGGCTCTGACCGCCCAGAATAGGGCACGCCTCTGGCGCCCTCAGAGGGTAATGGCGGTCAGAGCCATACGCGGTTACCGCACCGTTTCGACGGAGGTGGCGTGCGCGTTGGCCGGAACTCCCCCGTGGGAGGCGGAAGTGCTCGCCGAAGTTTATCAGCGAGTGGCTGACTCCCGGGCGGAGAGCGGATTTCGCCCTCCGCCCGAGGATGTGCGCGAGTGGCGTGAAGCCGCTCGCCGAGCCACGATGGCTCGTTGGTCGTTCCGGCTGGAGACTCCACGCGCTGGCTTCGCCGCCGTGGAGGCCTGGGCCTCGGCCTCGGGCCTGGACGACTCCATCAAGTCGGAGGATGTCAGCGATGCAGTCATGGAGAAGACTGGGTGCACCGCGGACACCATCAGAGTCGGCACTGTCCGTCCGGGTCCGGGAGGCCTCGGTGCGGTGTGGGTGAGCTGTCCCGTGGCGTCGGCCAAAGTATTGGGCGACGCCGGAAGCATTCTCGTCGGCTTCGTGAATGCCAGAATCACGGTTCTGGCCGCGAGGCCGATGAGGTGCTTCAAGTGCCTAGCCGCGGGACACACTCGCACCAAGTGCGGGAGCTGTTTTGACTGCAGCGGATTATGCTTCCGCTGCGGTCAACCCGGGCACAAGGCGGCAGAGTTCTCTGCCGCCCCTCACTGCCCCGTGTGTGCGGCGGCTAAAAAGCCCGCCAATCACATGATGGGGCAGGGGGGCTGCAAGCCTCCCCGCGCTTCTCGGCGAACGCCGGGGGCTAGCCTGCCGACCCAGGCTGCCTCCGACGTCAATCATGCGTCGACGCCGACGCCCATGGAGGAGGTTGTAGAGACGATCCAGTAATGGATCAAGTCTCCAACCTCCTGGTCCAGACGAATCTTAACCACTGTGCCGCGGCGCAGGATCTCTTCCTGCAAACCATGGCACAGTGGTCGATAGGTGTTGCCGTAGTCGCGGAGCCCTATTTTGTCCCTCCCCGTCCAAACTGGATGGGTGACCGGGACGCCTCCGTGGCAGTCGTCGGCTCCACGGCGGCTCATTCCCCGCACTTGTCGCTAAGAGACAAGGGTACGTGATATGTTGCCGCCGATTGGGGGGGAATCACCATTTATGGTGTATATTTCTCCCCCAACCGGAGTTTGAACGACTTCGAGGTCTTCCTTAACAACTTGGAGGCCTCGATGCGGCGACTAGTGTCTGGGCACGTCCTCGTGTTGGGGGACTTCAACGCAAAGTCCATTGCGCGGGGTTCCCCTGCGACGGACGCCAGGGGCGAAGCCGTCGAGGAGTGGGCGGCGTCGGTGGGCCTTTGTTTGCTGAACAGAGGCTCCACCAACACGTGCGTGCGACAGCAGGGGGGGTCGATAGTGGACCTTTCGTTCGCTACCCCTGCAGTCGCCGCACGAGTAAGGAACTGGTGTGTCCTGGAAGAGGTCGAGACGCTCTCGGATCATTTGTACATCCGATTCGAGCTCTCCCGGTCCCAGGACCCCAGTAGGGGTCACGCGGCGCGGCGCCCTTCCCGCTTCCCGCGGTGGGCTGTCGCCAAGCTCGACAGGGACCTACTAGAGGAGGCGGCCATTATTCACTCTTGGCTGTCTCCGCAGGCCCCGACCGAGGAGGTCGACATGGGGGCTGGTCGCTTCTGCGATGCGATTACGCAGATTTGCGATGCGGCCATGCCCCGCGTCCGTGGTTGTCGGCCTCCAAGGCAGGAGGTCTACTGGTGGTCCCAGGAGTTGGCGGACCTCCGTGCGGCCTGTGTACGTGCCCGGAGGTCCCTCACCCGTAGTCGGCGACGTCACCGCGGGGTCGTTGAGGAGGTGGACCGGCTTCATGAGGATTACCGAGAAGCTCGGAAAACTCTGAGACTGGCCATCTGCCGCGCCAAGGATGCGTGTAGAGAGGAGATGCTGGAGAGTCTCGAGCGTGACCCGTGGGGTCGCCCTTATCGTGCGGTGTGTTCGCACGTCGGCCCCCCCCCCTTACGGAGACTCTCCAGCCCAGCTTCCTGCAGGAAGTGGTCGAGGGCCTATTCCCGCAGCGGGCGGAGCACACACCCCCGTCGATGGCTGCATCAGCCGGAGACGACGGGGGCAGCGAGGTTGATGTTCCGCCCGTCAGGGAATCCGAGTTGGGGGCGGCTGTTCTACGGATTCGATCCAAGAACACCGCCCCCGGGCCGGACGGGATTCCAGCCCGAGTGATGGCCCGAGCCCTCGACTACATGTCGGACCACCTCAGGGGGGTGTTGGACGCTAGCCTGGCGTCCGGACGCTTCCCTGAGCGCTGGAAGTGCGGGAAGCTGGTCCTGCGACAGAAGCCGGGACGGCCTGCCGATTCGGTCGCGGCCTATAGGCCTATCGTGTTGCTGGACGAGGCGGGTAAACTTTTGGAGAGGGTGCTCTCTGCCCGCATCGTCCGGCACCTTTGCGAGGTTGGCCCCGATCTGTCGGACGCCCAATTCGGTTTACGAGAGGGGCGTTCGACGATCGATGCCGTGATGCGCCTTAGGGTTATGACCGAGGAGGCCGTGAGCTGCGGCGGAGTGATGTTGGCGGTGTCCTTGGACATCGCCAACGCCTTCAATAGTCTGCCATTCAGCTGCATCAGGGAAGCGCGCCGCTACCACGGAGTGCCAGAGTACCTGAGGCGGCTGGTGGCAGACTATCTTGAGGAGCGAACCGTCATGTACGAGGACCGAGATGCCGTCTTGAGACGCAGGGCCATGTCGTGCGGTGTTCCGCAGGGGTCTGTTCTAGGACCTCTCCTGTGGAACATCGGGTACGACTGGGCCCTACGAGGGCGTCTCCCCCCCGGGCTGGGTGTAATCTGCTACGCGGATGACACCTTACTCACGGCCCGGGGGGCTAACTTCCAGGAGGCGGCACGCCTGGCCGCCACGGGAGTTTCCCAGGTGGTCGGGCGCATTGAGGCGTTTTGATTACGGGTGGCCCTGGATAAGACGGAGGCCCTATTATTTCATGGGCCCCGTCGTGGTCCACCCGCCGGCGCCTCAATCGAGGTCGGTAGACGGTAGGTGGCTATTCGACGAGCACTTCCGACAGCTTGGTCGAAGCTGGTGGACACTGCCTCCGCCCTAGGGCGACTTTTGCCCAATTTGGGCGGGGCCAGTGTTCCCACGAGGCGGCTGTACGCGGGGGTTGTCCGGTCCATGGCGCTGTATGGTGCACCGGTGTGGGTGGCGGCTCTGACCGCCCCGAATAGGGCGCGCCTCTGGCGCCCCCAGAGGATATTGGCGGTCAGAGCCATACGCGGATACCGCACGGTGTCCACCGAGGTGGCCTGCGCCTTGGCCGGAACACCCCCGTGGGATTTGGAGGCGGAAGTGCTCGCCGAAGTGTATCGGCGAGTGGCTGACTTCCGGGCGGAGAGCGGATTTCGCCCTCCGCCCGAAGACGTGCGCGAGTGGCGCGAAGCCGCTCGCCGAGCCACCATAGTGAGATGGTCGTTCCGGCTGGAGACTCCTAGCGCTGGCTTCGCCGCCCTGGAGGCCCTCCAGCCGGTCATCGCCGAGTGGGCAGGGCGGCAGCACGGGACCCTTTCCTTCCGGCTGACGCAGGTGCTTTCCGGGCACGGTTGCTTCGGAAAGTACCTGTACTCGGTCGCTAGGAGGGAATCGAGTCCCGCCTGCCACCACTGCGACTGCAGTGAGGACTCGGCCCAGCACATGCTGGCGGTCTGCCCCGCATGGGCGACGCAGCGCCGGGCCCTCACTGCAGTCATCGGAGCAGATCTCTCGCTACCAGCCGTAATTCGCTCCATGTCTGTTAACGACAGTTGTTTTACCGCGGTCGCAACCTTCTGCGAGGAAATAATCTCGCAGAAGGAGGCGGGGGAGAAGGCCCGGGAGGACGACCTCCACTCGGACACTTCGGACCTCGGAGGCGCGCTTACCTGTGCCTCATGCCGCCCTGAGTGTGTGGCCGCGGGTGGACGGGATGGGTTCTCCTCTCCACCCGCATTAGTTTGGCCAGCCGCGAGGGGGCGGCGTCCGCGTGTGCCGGACGTCGCCTAAAAAGAGAGGTCCTGGAGTCGGAGCCCGCACCAGGAGCGGGCCGGCGCTGGGAGGGGTCCAGAAGGCGATAACTACCTGGACCCCTCCTAAACTGGAAGCGCAAAGAGGGCACACCGTGTGGTTTTTTGTGTCAAGTTTTCCCTCTCTGTGCAGTATTGTTGTTCTGCGTAATTTTTCCTTAGTCGGCTCATACGACACCCACGGGATGAATAGGGGTGGTGACACTCTCTATTCTTAATCCGTCACCACGCGGACCATACACTACATGTCCTAAATATGAAATTTCCATCTTTAAAAGTTCACTTTATTTGGATTAAGTTTTAAATTAAATTTACGTAAACGGTTTCGAAACTTTTATCAATTTTCATTTTGGATTTTTAAATTACGTCCAAAGCAGATTAAATCATCTGATATAATAGACATTTTTCATAATGCCAACCTAACATAGCATGTAAAACTGTGACAAAGAAAATAATCAGACCAAATATACTAAACTATGTAGAGCGCGGGAGATCAGCTTTATTATCAAATCTCTCAAAAAACTAATATGCGACACCCGGATCCAAACATACCCAACAACCACATTACCAAACACAACACTGATAAATCACACAACAAGCCGGGTCCATCTAAGTCAAAACATTACAATTCGAAACACCCTAAAGCAAACCTATCTAGAAAAAATATGCACAAAAAGAAAACAATACAGGAAACCTGACACCAGGTCTAACGTACTGAAGTACTTACTATGACCTAATTGATCTAGGATCTCTGTAATATTAGGAATAGGATAAGCGTTTCCGACAGTAATGTCATTCAGTTTTCTATAGTCTACGACAATACGCCATTTCTTTTGGCCAAAAGCATCTTGCTTCTTTGGTACCACCCAAATAGGAGAAGACCAGGGGGAATCAGAGGGTTTTATTATGTTTTGATCTAGCATTTTCTTTATTTGTTTGTTGACTTCTTCTTTATGACATTCGGGATATCTATATGTTTTTACATGAATAGGCTGTGAACTAGTTGTTTTGATTTTATGTTCTAAGGTATTTGTACAAGTAAGAGTATCTAAGTGGAACAGATTTGAGTATTCTGAGCATAAAGCCGTTGATTCTTCAGGGTTAAGGTGGGAAGTCCGTATCAGTTTCTGAACTTCGTGAGATCTGTTTGATACCAATACTTTAAATTCTTCTATCAAATCACAGGGAATTAGTTCTACACAAAGGGATTTTATTGTTACTTCCTTATTAGTAGTGTTGAGGACTGAAATAGTGACATGATTATTTCCTTTAAGAGTAACAAGACAACTAGACATAAATACACCTTCCTGAATTTCAGACTTATCGACGTAACCCGTGATTACTTCAGGATTTAGTACATTACATTCTATAAGCATTTCCGAGCGCGATGGAATGATATATTCGGGTTTAGTGAAATAAATTCGTATTAAGTTACCATGTATATCTAAGACGTTATGTTTATAATCGATATTAGCATTATGAGATTTTACGTAGTCATTACCAATTATACCATCAAATTCGATATCTACACAGTCTGATATGACGTGAAATTTACCGAAAACAGTTTTATTATTCTGAAATATAAAATCTAACTGAAAATGTCCTAAGCTCTTAAAATATTCGGCGTCTTTATCAATGCCTTTAAACTGGACACTTTCAGGTGTTAATTTGGGTTGAACTTGTAAAGAACTCCCTTTTATTAGAGAGATTCCTGCACCGGAATCGATTAATAGAACTAGTAATTTGTTTGTATATTTCGTCTTGACATAGATATGAGGCAAATGCGTTTTCTTATTGTAATTGAGTTGAAATATATTAGATTGTACTTCTGAATTACATTTATTATTTTCTGTTAAATTAAATGGTGTACTGAAATGGTTTTCTAAGCAATTGTAAGATTTAGTAGGACTGACAGATATAGTAGTTTTAGAATTAGTAGACTTTTTAAGGGTATTTGGCTTGTTATTATTATGATGAAACGTGGTATAATTCACCTGCAATTGTTGAGGTGTAGAGGATTTAGGAGAAATAGTAGATTTAGTATGATAGTTTTCGCGACTCAACTTCTGTGGTTGAGATGTATTAGACATAGGAGAAATAGTAAGACTCGGTTTTTCCCGAGATGTAGAAATAGTAGACTTAATATTATTATTATGACTCGACTGCTTCGGTTGAGATGTTAGAGATATAGTAGGACTCCGCTTACTAGCTGGAGATGTATAAATAGTAGAATTGGTACCATTAACGTTATGACTCAACCACTGAGGTTGAGATGTAAATGATTTAGTAGAAATAGTAGGACTCGGCTTATTAACGCGAGATGTAGAAATAGTAAGATTAGTATTATGACTCAACTGCTGGGGTTGAGATGTAAAGGATTTAGTAAGGATATTAGATTTAGTAAAATTAATATGGTTCTTATTACGAGTATTACTTAACATAAAAGTTTTATTAGATATAGTTAAGGGGATATTAGAGGCGTCAGCGTCGGTTTGTATTGATGATTCCGTACGACGCGGGACCGGAATCTTATTCAGTTTAAATAATCATACGTGTTTGACTCTAATGAATTACAGTTAAAATCTTGAATTTCAGAGTGAGCTAGTTCGACAACATTGTTAACTTGCCTTTGTGGCTTGTTAGTTGAATAATTGTTACGGGAATTATTATATTGGCGCTTTCGACATTGCGTTATGTCGTGACCGGGATTTTTACAACATTTACAGAATAAATTGGTATTATTTTGCGCATTAAAAGAGGAAGAGGGTTGTGATTGGTAGGATATTTGAGGTTGGTTACTAAGAGTATGTACAGGACGTTGTCGATTGTTAAAACAATTTCTATCCGAATGACCTACACTGGTCAGCAAATAAACCGAGCCACCCGCTACCTAGGAACTCTGCTTCGATTTTCTTAAAAAGTATAAAACTTACAACTATCAAAGTACACCTATCATACCTACAAAAAGTGCGTTTCATGGTGATTAAAATGACTAAAAATTAATTCGAAAGTACCGTCAACTCACATTGTAATCAAGCAACAAACACAATGCTAACGATTTGCTCTGTTTTCACCAGAGTTTGAAATTAGCGTTCTTTTTTTCTACAATCAGGGTAGTCGGATATTTCTTATCATTTCTTTAGTTTTTGTCCATCGTTTGCTCAGACGCGTTTATTTTTGCTACTTTTTTCGATTAATAATGGATACAACACCTCAGGAAGCAGCTCAACCTGTAGCATTACTTCAAGCAGGCATTGCGCAACGTGAAGTCGCTCGAAGGCTTCGAATTAGAGCAGTGGAGTAATGTACTCTTCACTGATGAGACCAGGGTGAGTCTACATGGAAGTGATCGACGTCAGAGAGTATATCGTCGCCCTGGAGAACGTTATTCTCAGTGTTGCATCGAGGAAACTGTTGCTTATGGAGGAGGATCTGTAATGGTCTGGGGCGGCATCTCGTTAACAGCACATACAGCGTTAGTTTTCATCGAACCGACGGGCCGTACACGTGGACTGACTTCTCATCGCTACATTACTGAAATCCTCGCAGACCATGTGGTACCTTACGCAGGATATATCGGACAGGATATGCAATTGATGCATGATAATGCACGGCCTCATGTTGCTCATGTGGTGACCCAGTACCTACGCGACGTCAGCATTCGTACGATGGACTGGCCAGCTCGAAGCCCGGACTTGAATCCGATAGAACACTTATGGGATGAGCTGAAACGTCGGGTTCGAGCCCGGGTACCTGCTCCAACAAGGCTTCCAGAGCTGCGAATCGCAATTGAAGAGGAGTGGAATACAATTCCTCAAGATTTTATCGTCAGGCTCGTAAGGTCGATGAATACAAGGATGCTGGCAGTTATCCGAGCAAGGGGAGGGAATACGGAATATTGATCAAAAACTTTTTTTTGATTTTATCTTTGTTTTTGGCTTTAATTTTTTTTTTCACTTTATCATTACTAACGATTGTCACGACTGGAAAACGACTCTTCTTTGTAAAATCCTTAATAAACACTGAAATATTGATTAAACCCAATGAGTTTCCTTTCATTTTAATCACCATGAAACGCACTTTCTGTAGGTACAACTTTGTTAATTGTAGGTTTTTTAGTTTTTGAGAAAATCGAATTAGAGTGCCTAGGTAGCGGGTGGCTCGGTTTATTTGCTGTCCAGTGTATTTTACCGCATATTTTACACCTAGGTTTTCTTTCAATTGGTCTAGTAGACTGAATATAATTTTGTAGTTTTTCCTCCTGAATAGCCAGGTTTATAGCCTCGTGTAAAGTTGCAGGGTTGCGACATCTTAAAACGTTAGAGATATGACTCGGTAAGCCCATCAAGAACGTATGCAGTGCCAAGTCTTCTGTACTGGCGATTCGGCCCTTTAATTCACTAGGATCCCTAGTAGAATGCGTGATGTCAGTTTGTAATCGCGTTAAATATGTCTCTAATCGTAGGCTATATTGTGTAACCGTTTCATTAGACTTTTGTTTACAATTTTGTAAGTCTAATAATAAATGATCTCTATACTTGGTTTCCCCGAATGTTGATTTTAAAAACTGTTTCAACTCAGACCAATTTTCAAAAATTTTTAGAGAGCAGGCGGACTCTGCTTTACCTTCTTATTGTGAAATTATATATTGAAAGAGGATGTTATGTTGCGATGCAGTGGCCAAGTTTAACGCGTTTTCGCAGTTTCTAATAAAGGCTGTTAACCTGTTTCTATCACCATCGAAAGGTTTTATAAACTTAGTCAAAATTGAAAAATGTAATTCCTCTAATCCTACGCTTTGTATACTTGAACACGACTGAGCGTTTTTCTTTTCAAGTTTACCACTTTCGTTAACCATTTTTATATAAAAAGAGAGCAAAAATTAAGACTGAAATTAGCAAAAATATGTCAGTGACAAAAAATAAATTAATATAAACGAGCAAACACTCACAATATTAGCAGTATGTAGAACGATGTCAT